GATCCATATTCCTCACTTTTATCAATAAATGCACGCATTTAGCGTACAGTTATATATATATATATATATATTATAGAATCTCTTGGAAATAAATGCGCGCGTCGATAAAAGTGAGGTGTGAATACAGATCTTAATGTGTGTGTGTGTGTGTGTGTGTAAATAAAATCTTAGAAAAATCTATGTATTTATTGCGCAAAACATAAATAACATAATCAATATATTTTTATGATTTATTTAGTTTACATTTTCGAGCATCCGCCCAATGCACCTAATATTTATATCTTGTAGATACTTATTTAACTGGTAAATTATATGTTACATGATTAGAGAGAATCTTATGAAGCTCTGGAAATAATTTCGCAAGAAATGCTTTTCTGATGTTACATAAAAAACTTATTACAAGGCTAAATATCCATATCTCAATGCAAAGAATGCGGTTGAAGACTTAATATAAAAGCGTGCATAAAACGCAATAGCCTATTATCCTAGAGAATATATTACACCTGCGATTCCAATGAATATTCCTAACGTTTCGTAAAACTCAATAAGAGACAATCTATTTCGTAAAGCGCGAATAAAACCCGATGAGTAGAAATAGAAACGCGAAAGAGGATATTAACGGAACACACATCTGAACTTCATATGTAAATTGATAAGATTGAAATATTCATGCAGTACGTATTAACGTATAGATTTTTTATAGCAGAAAAGAAAAAGAAAAACAAACGATGTGATTGAATTAAATAATTACACCACAAGCTCTCGTAGGAGTTCCGACGAGAACGACGATGACGGAGCGTGAAAAAGGAATATTGGATAATGATAATAAATAAAAAAGAAGTTTCTATGCGATTAAGTAAAATACTTCTACGATCAAATTGAAAATTTATTAATCTTTACAGAATGTAAAAGCCATTATAGCCGCTAAAACGATGTTGATTTAAGGCAAGAAATTGAGGTAAGAAATACTGTGAAACAATGAACGACTAAATGAAATAATAAATCAACAAATTTTACTCAGGAAAAAACTGTAAAATTTTTTAAATAGATCTCCGCCCTCTAAAGGTTAATATTCGCGAAATGATACAATGCAGGGAAGTTTATGAATCGACGAATTGAAATAGAAAGATTACTCGCGATTAATCAAACGCGAACACCCGTTAAAAATTATCGGCAACCGGCGTGACAGAGCGGTAAGAGAGACTTAATAAACGTCAAGCCACGAGCCACGATACCAGGTCGTAAACAGTGCGGACGCGAGCGGAAAACCGCGACGCGACAACGTGTGTATCGGAAATAAGTGGCGCGCGTGATATTGCGAAGTCGACATGTCACAAGAGACGGTGAAAGAGAGACGAATGGCGGAAAGAGGAAGAGAGAAAGGAAAGAGGACAGCAGCGGACACGGAGAGAGAAGCGTTGGCACGTTCTGGTACCGATCGTTCTGGTATCAGAAAACGGCGCGCGGCGTGGCGGCCCCGAAACTGTGCTGCAGAAGTTTACACCGTGAGATTGGCTCGCGGGATCGTTTAAAGTGCCGAGAAAGGAGTGAAAAGAGCGCAATGAAGAGAAGAGGAACGGTTACCTTCGACAGATCAGCGAGTCGCCGAGATGATGACGAAGATGAGAGAGAAAGAGATAGGTAAGGAGCAAGACGGATCTTCTCGCTGGCCTGGAAGCGGGAACGCGTTGAAGTCGCTCGTACAACACTACCCTATCGGATGGATCACCACAGAGCACCAATCTATCACGAATTCACTCCTTCGTCACGCGCGCAACTATCACGGAACCGTTCACCTTCGACCCGCGCGGCAGTCTGGTCAGGTCTAGTCGCTCGTGATTCACGATCAATCGCGGAATCGTGGTGCATCCGTCGCACGATCGCTCCGGTGCGATCGCGGCGGTGTATCGACGACCTGGCGAACGCGCGCGGAACGCGAACGCAGAAACGTTCCCGCCGTCCGCGGCTGCACCCGATATGGCACTCGTGCGATCGCCGTAATCCGTAATCGCCAGGTCACGCCGGGCTAGTCGACGAGAAATCGCGCGTTCTTCAAGGAGGAGTCCGTACGGCTGTCGTGTTGTCAACGTCGTCGTCGCGCTCGCCGTCGGAAAGGACTTACAATCGCGGTACCAACACGGAACGGAACGCGCGGAACCGCTTGCCGCGTACGAACGGCTCCTCCGTACTGCCGCGCGGCGCGGAGCGTGACAGCGGATACCATTCGAAGGTTATATCTCCTGGTCCGCCATGTGCAGCCGCTAGCCTGTCCGCCTGCCTATACCTGCCTACCTCCGGAGTTTTGCACTCCTGCCTCTCTCCCACTTCTTTATCGCGATACCGTACGCGGCCACCTGGAGCGTTTACCTGGCGAACGTCGGATTCGTACGAGTCCTCGCGGAATCGTCCGATGATCCCTTTGAACGCCGTTCGAATTTTGCCGCGCCGCCGAACGAGCTACTCGCCGATTCCTCGGATCGCGTCTTTCTCTCATTACTCTTTAGGTATCTTCTCGTATTGAACGTTTGAAAGCTCATTTTTAGCGTCAAACAGATTACGTGATCAAAATTGACGCTTGACACTTGTTAATTTTAACGACATGACTTATTTTGACATTAACAATGAGCATCAAGTGTTAGCATGAAATTGTACCTTATAATGTTTATTTTTACCAATGTAAATTGAGTGTTTTGGCTGTACAATATCAGCTAAAAATATCAATCAAAAAATTAATCGGTCAAAAAATTTTATTGTACACTGCAGAGGAAAAGATACTTAAAAAATTTATTTGTAGGATGATATAATATTTATTTCATTAAAATAAATTTTTATTTAAATATGGAGAAATAAAGTTTTACTACTATTTTAATTTTTTACGATTAATAAGAAAAATTAGGTGTATTTCATAAGAACGTATATTCTGTCGTCACAATCAAATATTTTTATAATTAATAAACATTTGAAAAATGTCACGAGTTACATTTGTTTCGGAATATTTTGACTTTTTTTACTCAGTGTAAATACACCCTGAAACCAACTGTAAAAAATAAAACAACAAATTATTTTTAATTGCTTATGCAGAGCAATTACCATATTTCACTGCAGTTTTAGGTAAATAACTTTTAAACGAGTAAGTGGATCCAAATGAACTGTTGCGTGAATTTTTATTAGTTTCATTAACATATATAAAAAATTTAATTTAATTTGTAACACTACTTTCTCATCAAATTTGCAAATAAATACACTAAGAACTGATTGAAAATAATCGAACCAGTAAGATTCTGATCATATCAATCAGAATTCTGGTCCTCATAACTGGACATTTGATCATTTCAATTAGAATTCTAATAGATTTAAAACCAGAAAATTCTGATTCGTCTATTTTCAATCAGTTCTCAATTTTTTCTCAGTATACTACAAAATCTTCTATAAAACATCGTTTTATAGAAGAATCAAAGCAAACAAAAAAATTAAATAACTTTTAAACCAATAAAGAAAATATGTTTAAATTTTACATGAATATTCAGATATAATAATAGGAGAATCAATGAAATTTTTATAATTTTGATAATGCTTTAAAATGTGGCACATACAATCTTAATTTTAATTTCTCCAGGTTTAACTTACTTTCTCTTTTATCTTTTTTTTAATTTTTGGAAAAGATAAAACTATAATAAAAAGTAAGTTAAACCGAGATTAAAATTAATCTATTGAAAATTACATTGATAGAAATTAACATTAAATTAAATGTGCTTAATCACGTAATTGCCTAAGAAATGCGCCCAAATTCGGTTCAATAAATTCGGGAACCCCACTTGAGAATCAAACGGCTACGTTATGCGTCACGTCGGGATTTGAGCGAACGTAATGCTCGTAGAATAAAATGAAACAGATTAATAGGATAATTATTGGAATAATCAGAATGCAGAAATATATTACGGGTTCTGATAAATACTCAGCAAAAATAATGATACAGAGGCACGATTCAAGTGATTAAACGAATTAAAGGGTTTGCAATTCGTGTTTCACTTCACGGATGCAATATATTGAAATCGATTGAAATAAGCCTGTTATCAGCGTGCGTAATATAGCGGCGCTATTCATATGAATGAATCACTGTATTATCATTGTGCATGACACGTTACCGTCTTTGCTACACACGAGTCGACAACGAAAAAAAAAAAAGAAACGAAATAATTATAACAGTTTCAAAGCGCACTAGCGTGCAAATCTGTGTATGTAATAGTTCTCTCACGTGGAACTTCCCTGACATGTGACTCCGCTACTTTTGACAGAAAGGAATGCGGCATTCGAGCTTGAAAAGATTTTTCCGGAATTTTTCGAATATTCTCTGGACTATCATTTCGAGCACGGTTCGTTGAAAAATTGTGTCCGGCAGGAACGTGTCATATCAATTGCGACTTCGTACCAGACTCTCCGATCGAATTCTTATTTTTGTTCCCCGTCAAAGTCTGTCGTCGCGCGTGATGTCCTACGGAATGTTTAAAACGTTGCGCGTTTATTCAACGGGAACACGATACGGGACACGAAATCGACTGTGACTAGTCTATTTGAACTGTATTCAAATTCGTACGAGCGTTTGCCCAAGCACGGTTGTAATAGAGCGGCAATGCCATCCGGTTAGTAATGAAATGTCTCATTTGTTTTAAAAACATCTGTTCAAAGAGTATCAACGTCGCCGACATTTGAAATAACGAGGAATAAGGTGAATTTACATGAAAAGTAAGTATAGCTGCGTTTGTTTTAGTTCCCCCTGTCTTTTACTTTCTCCCATTTTCTTTCGTTTAACCTCCATATTTTTACACTTGTTATACATTTGTATTTGTAGTTCAAAATTTAATAAAAATTGTTTATATCTTTATAATTTCTTCGACGCTTCACTTATTTCTGTTTTCTTTTTTAACTTTAAATGGCCAGAAATATATGTATGTATAATACTTTTAAAAATGTAGATATAAAAAATAAGAAAATCGACTCACCCACGTTCCTGTTTCCGCTTCTCCGAAGACGCAGACATATTGTTCGAGAGTCGATGCACTTGAATCAAAGAAAACACAATTATTTGTATTATGTATAATTAAGGAAATATAAAAATAAAATATGTATACGGCGCGTATATGCGATGTATTACACATTTTCTATTTCTCTTTTATAATAACATCTTTTTATTAAATAATAAGATTGAAAGACCGCTTATGTTAACTACAATACTTTAAACTAAGAAGCGCCACTAACGGTCTGAACGTTAAGATGTTGAACTATTTTAAATTCATTTAAATGAATTAATTTCAGAAATTATAATTGCGTGCCGATATGGTTGTCGGACTTTCAACGCAATCAAATCTGAAATATTAATAATCCCCCCAATTTTCCAACTTAAAAACTGTAATAAACTTAATAAATAAAAGAAGGGCAACGAGCCAATTATAATGTAAGATATTTAATAAACGTATATATACAAACGTTTCGACACCGATCGAGTCATTTTCAATGTAAAATAACAAACACTCTTACATACGTTATCGGAAAATTCGGTCAAATTATAATGTCCAGTGAAAAATTCGGTTGTATTCATAAAATGCGGTCCATATGTAAAACTATGAAAAGAGATCACATCTCACTTTTCGCAATTCTTATATTGTCTCAATGATATAAAGTAGACGACGATAGGAACACACAATTAACAAAGTTATATTTAATAAAAAAATTATATTTAATAAAAAATAAGCCATGATACAATTGGATGTAACATTTAAACTCAACGATGTCAAGCGACGTTATGATTTGACCGAATTTTCCGATAATGTATGTAAGAGTGTTTGTTATTTTACATTGAAAATGACCCGATCGGTGTCGAAACGTTTGTATATATACGTTTATTAAATATCTTACATTATAATTGGCTCGTTGCCCTTCTTTTATTTATTGATTTATTCTAATTGAGCCATATTAACATTTATTTTATTATTATATTATGTAATAAACTTATTGCGAAAAATAATGCCTCGGCCGGGAGTCTAACCTAAAATCTTTTTATTAATTATATTGTCTTATTTCAAAAGAATAATGGAAGTTTATGAAGAAATGTTATGGCAAATCATAAAATATAACGTGCAACTCTAAACGTATTAAAATATAATCAGAGATATACTAATGTAATTACCTCATGTATGTATTGAATGACTTCGGTATGAGTTGCATTTTCCAAGGTGCGACCGTTCACTTCTAAAATTTCATCGCTCACTTCCAGAGTGCCATTATCTGCCGGCGATCCTGCATAAGCGAATATAATCTTACTATAATTTATAAAATTTAATTGCAATAATGCTTAACGTTAGAGAGAAAAAAATTTTAATGAATTTTAATAAATGACTCTGATATACATTGTGAATATTAATCGCATTTCGTGTTATATGGATACTGTAACGTGCCTTCGAACGCGACATCGCATTCATATATAATAATCCGTATTGAAACGAGACATCGAAGCTTGCAAAAATCCCTGTTTAAACGCCTGTGAATGCTACATATAATCTGCTTCGTAAACGGAACGTACCTGCTAATGAGCACGGCCATTTAAAGGATACTGCGCGCAAACGAATCGTAAAAGCAACCGACTGCATTCTTTCCTATGACGTACAAAATACAAAATGGTGCGAAAAATCTTTTTTTCGATAAACGGAAAAAAAGAACATTGATTGACCGATTTATCTATCCCTTGTATTCGAACATCGATAGTAACGAAGAATTAACATACCGTGGCTGATTTAAATCCGTAAAATATGTAAAAAATAATAAAACGACCGTACAAGTTATATTCAAATATCACCGACGTTAAATATATCATTTATATTGTTAAAAAAAAGATTTAAAACTTCTAAGAAAAATATCCAACAGAAATCAAGGAAAAAAGGAGTGAAACATAAAATGAACAAGTGCCTCCTTCAGGGCAATAAAGCGCGCGTTACGATAAGTAAACATAAAGGTCAGCCTATAAATAACACGCCGCGAAACACGTCCTCTATATGAATCGTCGTGCATTACTGTAACATGTCGCGTAAATCGGAAATCCGTCCGTCGCACATTTCCCGCTTCCGAAAGCGTGCGACGTGTGCATGACGTGTAAGCTGTGCGCATGATGATCACTAACGAGAAAATTATCACTTCTCATTTAGATTCCTACGCATATCCCCGAGCGATCGAGGATAGTCATATATACCTAAAGAGACGCTCGATGTCGATTCATTCGACAGATATTCAACAAGCCAATGTAAATGCCATAAAAAAAGAAAATCTAACAATAGAACTTGAAAATACTATTTCGTAATAAAAAGAAGACACGGCAGGGTTTCTGTGTCAAGCAGACTTCTGAAGACTGGGCTATATATGTATCTATATAAAGATATAAATGTTAGGCATGCGTGACTTACAAAACAAAAACACGTGTTTTCGAAAATTTAATTTATACAATATATTCTATTTTCTGAATAGATCACTCATAGTTTACACTCCGAGTATTCGATGTCGAGCATTAATGGCCCAAGTAGAAAAACAAATTACAATAACGTCAAAGTGACTCAAAATGAATTATAACTGAAAAGTGACCTTTAGTATTCATTTTGGAGTTATTTTGACGTTATTTTAATGGCTGCGTTAACAGAAAAAGCAGCTTTGCAACTGTTGTAAAATTCTTTAATATAATTAGTCTTGCCCTTAGCTCTTCACTGAATCTAAATATATAAACCAATCATATTCAAGAATTTTACAACAGTTGCAAAGCTGTCTTTTTCTGCTAAACGCAGTCAATGTCATGATAACTTGTATTCTTGCTCAAGGAGAACAAAAAAGTCAAAATAAGATTAAAATAAATCAATTTGATATTATATTATTGATCGATTATTGATTGAATGTTTATTATTTTTTGTCATGATTAGACCAATATGGCATTGGGTGCTTTCCATTTAGTGACATAAGTTGACACAAGCGTTCTATCTTTCTTTGCATTTAGTGAGTAGTGAAGATAGAACAACACTTCTGTCAACTTATATTACTAAATGAAAAACATCTATTGTTTTGACTGTCCTGTTCTTCTTGGGTTGGGGATGTTTTACCGTCGCGCGAAACGTGTTTTACGAAATATTGGTGCTTATCGAATAATCTGGCGTTGTACATTGTTGCTAACGTAACCGCTACGTACCGTAAAGCTTGACCCTCCCGTTGTCACTCGTCAGTAAAATAACGTATCCTCCTAGGTATGCATCGACCATTTTCGCTAGTAATTATCCGCCGTACATAGGGGTAGCTATTAGATTACCTCGCGCGACACTCCGCGCGAATGACGCCCGCGCAACGTGCACTAATTACTTCACACTACGCCGGGTCCGCCCCGAAAAATCGGTCCGCCGTTATTAACGTCGTTAGCACATGCCATTTTCCCGGTTTCCTCTTGCATCTTCACTTCATTTTAGTATCGACCTTGTGACCTACTTCGCGGCCGGTTAATAACGATTATATATTTTTCATACGACACGGAACGCACTTCTTTCTCCCTCTTTCTTTTTCTCTCTTTCTTTTTTCTCCGGTTCGTTCTTCCTTTAATTTTCCGTTTCGTAGTGGCTTTTCTTTATCATATACGTGTATTTAATCACGTCTTCCATGCTCGCTGTATTTACAATCGCGAGATCGTCGATCGTTCATCGGATGTCCAATATTCCTTCCTTTTCTCTCTCTCTCTCTCTCTCTCTCTCTCTCTTTCTCTCTTCGCTAAACGGACACTAAGGCATCTATGCTCCACTCGAGGGTGGTATAAGAAAATTGCTACTACGACGAGAACTACGATATACGCTCGATAACTTGGAGCCACCTAAAAGATGGACTAAGGAACACATAATTATCTTTAAGTTTAACACTCCGCTGGTATCACGATTTTATTATTACGTATTATACTCTTTTTTCGCCTTTTTTTTATTATCGTGCGCTTTAGCTTCCCCGTCGTTAGATCGTTCTAGCGATCGTCGTGAGGGAAGCGGAGAGAAAACGAAGCGGCGCCTCTACGGGGCCCGTTATTGCAGGCCCCCCTACATCCTTACGGCGACGTACCTCGCGAGCCACAACGTGAGAAAGAGCGATCGCCGGTTCACAATCCCTCGACGAGCCGGAGTGTCTTATTATTGATCACCGTTTCGACTAACGTTTCATGTGCCGCTTCCGTGCACGCACCACCGGCCATCGTCCCGTCGTTCCGCATCCACTGTATCAACCCCCGCGCGGCGGAAACGCGTATTAGCTCCGACCAGCTGCTATTGCCGTCGCTGTTGTTGCTGCTGCTGCTTTTGCTCCTCCGATCTTGCTGTCCGCGCTACCACCCTTCGTGCGGTCGCACATCGACGACGATCGTTACGGAGCATCTGGCAAGTAGCGCGGGGATGCACGATGTCCTGGACTTGACGTGGGATTCCTCGGCGACGATCGAGACCATCGCGCGTATTTCTCACTCCCTTACGCAATTACTATCCTACTGTTTTTCTCTCTCCCTCTCGCAGCGCGTGTATTATTGATGTACGCGCTTAAATTGCTGTGCGCGCGTTTACTTAAATCAGATCGATCTGCGATCGCGAAATCTCGAAATTGGTCTGTTCTTATGTTTCTTCCGGCATATAATTCTTCCACGTATAATTCTTCCAATGGGACACTTAATCACGCTTAAATCACGCTCGCGGAAGCGACAGGACGTCCCTCGTGTCGCTCCAGGTAATGCGGCGATGCACGAAGGCGAGGATCGAACCTGGTGCAATGAGCTCCCGCGAGGATCTCGCGTTCGACATCACCGCGCCACCGATGTGTCCCGCGACTTTCGGCACTCCTCGCCCGCGCTTTAATATCTTCTCAGCTGTCGGCGACACCCTCGTGTCCCGTCCCTTCTCACTGAGGATCAACGTCGAGATCTCCGTCGAGAGGAAATCTCGGATTCTCCGAACGGAGAGTCTACGATTCAAATCTTACGATTATTCTCGGACGACTCCCACACAAAACGCTGCACTTACGCACTTATACACTCTCTCTTTCTCTCTCTCTCTCTCCTTTTCTCTTTCTCTTTCTCTCTCTTTCTCCCTCTCCCCCCCTCTCTCTTTCTCTTTCTCTCTCTCTCCTGTCACGGGTCTCCAGGTTAAGACACACGCAACTGTGCCGTGCTCTATTTCTCACCCTCCTCCGTCACGCGCGCAAACCACCACCCTAATCGGTGCCGCGCAGTGTGTGTATGCATCTCGGGAGCGGCATAACGTCTCGAACCCCCAGCCGAATCGCGAGTCCGACTAACTTGAGAGAATGAGCGGTGGGGGTAGTGGTGGTGATCCGCCTCGCGGACGACGTCGAGGCCGAACCTGGAGGACAGCGCGAGATGTCCGCAGCGCGAAATGGGTGTGAACCCCGTGGTACGTGCGCGTTGACCGACGGCGGCGGCAGCCCTGCCGACACCGCTCTCTCTCGCCTCTGGAGCAACCCTCCAACCCTCCACGGAGTCGCCTCCAACCCTCGCCACGGAGCGGCGTCAGCGGCGGCAGTCCGCGCCGGCGTCGTTCTGTTGGCGGCAATCCCCGGTCTTCGACTTTCGAGCCGTCGTACGCTGCAATCTTCACGCCGTACCTGCGCTGTCGACTGTATAAGGGGATGTTCGGGGCGCGTCGAGAAGGGTGCGCTCCTCACAGTCGCGACAATCGCAAATTAGCTTTGGGAATTTCTCGGTATCTCGCGACTTTCAGCTGACATGATTTACACGCTCTATTTCTCTCTCGTGATTATTAATAAGATTTCCTCGCGAAGACTCACGAAGACGGAAGGACGCATTTCGAGAGCAGTACTACCGAGGATGCTGTTACATTTGAAGCCGCTGGCGATATCTATCGTACGACGAAAATTACGAGAGAACTGAACGCACTTATCGACTGCTCTTGGATTGCTGTGTTGATTACGTTCTTTGATGACCTTTTTCCAATTAATTTTTTTTCAACGGAAATTAGATGCAAAATAATTATGCCATACCGGATTTTAAATTTCAAATGAAGTGAAATCTATTTTCCGTTCTATGATTCGTTGTTTTCATCAAGATGTTTACGAAAATACATTACAGAAAATATAATATATTAAAACTCGAAAATCCAATTTATATATCATTCTCTTATTATATATCTCTTGATAAATGTCAAAACGTTATATTAGACAGCTTAATAAATATACAGCATAATTCGTTATGCGAAAATAAAATTAATTTGGAATTAAATTAATTGATGAATTTACATCAGCTTTAGACTTTTATCAGAGATTTGAAAATCAGATAAAAACAACGGTGCGATATTTGCGATACTCGCAGCAGCCTGTTCCTCATTACATCAAATATATTCAAAATGTCAGGATATTAAATTTTTGTTACTCCTGCATCTCTTTTCACAAACATGATTTTTTATTTGTTACTCGATAAAAGATTGATGCGAGATAAGCGCAGAATTCTAACCAAGTCTTTATTACGATATATAACTAGAATTTCAAATATTCTATATTAAATTCACGAATATAAGATCATCCTCTCCGAACACAATATTGGATCTCTCAGATATTTACACAAGGGGGTTCTATGCTCAGAGGACCGCCTCGCTACGTCGTGAAAGTAGAATAGAAAACTTATATTATATTACGTTTGCACTCCTCTAACTATAACCGTAAGAAACCGCGGCGGTAAGAAAATATATTTTTCTAAAAGCTTTCATTTCAGTGATATTATAGATTCCGTTACCAAACAAATCAGTCTATACAAGCTTGAGAAAAATATTATCTTCAATGTGAAAAATAATATCTCTTATAACGTAGGATATATTTTACTATCACTGACACTTTATTTTATACTGTTCTTCATATTATGAAAATAAATACTTTCTACTTTTATTGTAAAAAAATTAATGCAAATAATTCTTATTGTAAATTCTTGAAATATTCACGATAGCTTTCTTTGGTATTGGTATTCGCAGAATTGCGAAAAAGTCTTTGCAAATATCGCATAATAATCCGATGTCTAGGTAATCTGAACTGTGTTCCAAGTCCATATGCATTAAAAATGTCACATTCAAAGATAAACGGATACACGTGCGTTTTCAGAGATAATCGCAAGGTCACGCAATTTTTTCAAATTTTTATACGTATAAAGCGCTTTCTATATAGTACATATGTTAAACAATAACTTCTTATATAGCATTTCAAACTTAGAATAACTTAATAAGGGAATCAAAACTAGAGAGGGTCTATAGCGTTAATCCTAACTTTAATTCTTTTTTGAAAACTTAAATCTTCATTTATTAAAAACAAAGTCCAAAGATTAACGCTAGAGAATATTCGAATTACACATTAAGGTAGATATCCTAACCATAAGTGGTGCTTTTAAGAAGTTATTGTTCATTATGAGATATATAGAAAAACTTTATATTACGTATTAAAATTATAAAAAATTGCATAATCTTGATTATAGATTCCAGAATTATTTTTATATAAATGTATACAAATAAAATCTAGAAATTTGTAAAGAATTTCGGTATATAATTTTTGTAACTGACGCTTATATATTATATTTATTTTCAGAGAACCGTGAGATTTTTCTACGTTCCTGCGGCGTTTACACATGCACAGAAAACGCGTGTAAACCAAAGACGAGACAAAGGGAACTATACAACCGTAAGATCAATATAGGGGATGTTAGTTCGGTAACTGCTTTTCTGGTTTCTCTCTCTCTCCCTCTCCCTTTACCCCCCTCTCTCTCTCTCTCTCTGTCTCTCTTTGACTTTCTCCAGCTTCCGCCTTATGTAATTGCATTATCGCGGTATTACCCCGCGGAATCAACGTCGCCCTATTGTCTGCGATCGAGAGCAACGTTTAACTTCAAGTGCGGATTAATAGTAACCCTCAGGCAATCACGAGGCAAGCTTGAGTTCGCGATCTAGTTGAACAAATCTTACCACTGAGGCGAGAACTATTTTAGAAATTGAATAAATTGCTTACTCTCAGATATCTGGTTTAATTCTCAATTAGGTGATAATTTTACGCCAATATATGTGTTAAACTCTTGGATGACTATAAATTCAACCTGCAACGCAATTTACATCATGGTCTTTTACAGCATATATTTATTTCCTTATACATAGTTGTTTATATGACAAATAAATGTAGCGAGCGCTTCTATTCAGAAGAATTAAATTTTGGTATTAGATATTTTTCGATTATAATTCGCACGCATATTATGTAAAGTTTATATTACAAATTTTAAAAATTATGTAAATCATAAAATTTTCGTATTTAAAATTTAGAAGCTTACATAATCGACATATGCGAAGAATCGATAATCTTAACAAAAAGTTGCTAAATAAGATAAATGTATTCAATAAATAAGCTTATTGTTAAAGAAACAACAATATAAGTAATAATTCAATATATAAAAAATATAAACATATATATATAACATTATAAATTTTTTAAACGTCGGTTATATGAATGTGAGGCGTTCATTCGATATGATATATCTTAATCAAAAAGTTCCCGGAATTCATTCAGAAAATTCAAAATACAAGTTTATTCATCA